CAGGGACAGCCCAGGGCGCATCCTGGGCTCTGGGACCAGTACAATGAAGGGTCAGTTGAGGTGGTCTCCATAGGGCTGGCCAGCCCCTGGCTAGGTGCCCTGAGGCAGAACTGAGGGAAGAGGGTGGAGGTCGTGAAGGAGTGGTGAGGGATTGGAGGAGGGGACTCTGAAGGCAGCCAAGCTCATTTCTATAGGAATATTAACTGCCCCCGTCACTTCTCCCAGTCTGGGAAAGGCCACGCCCGTAAATCAATGCCTCGAATCTGCCAGGCAGAGACTTAATGGAGAAGGAGATGGACTTCAGTCAGAGCCGGCAGTGCCTCTGGAGGTCACAAGCCCAGCCCCCAGCCTGGACAGAGGAATCTGAAGCCAGACAGGGCAGGGATTTTTCCAAGGTCACAGCATTGGACTGGCGCCACGGAGGCAGGAGCTGGCTCGGCCATGTCCACTGCTGGATCCCCAGCACCCAACACCTAGTAGGGACTCAGCTAGTATTTTTTAGTGACCAAATGGCATGACAAATCGGGAGCTGAGCTCAGACTGAAATTCAGTCCTCTGGACTCTTGTTGGGCCTTGCCCAGTTCCCACCCCAGCTGTGAGGGGTATGGGTAAGCAAGAGGTTTCTCAAGGAGATGGCCATTGTGGCTTCCCTTTGTTTTTGGTTTCCAACTTGAAAGGAAATTTCACCATTTTTACAGGATCGTAGAACCCTGGAAGTCTGACATGTTTCTCAAAGTGCGTACCTTTTTCATGTCTATCACATTTCTGACAGTTGTACACCTTTTATCTCCCTCTCCTGCTCTCTACCATACCTGCTCTTTAAGGGGACATTGTGGAGGTATTCCCCGCCTCCGCGGCACTTGCCCCCTTGCAGTCCCCAGGCCTCTGGGCCTCTGCCCACCCTAGACTTCCAGCACCATCCCCAGCATGTGATCAGAGGGGGAGGCTGGCCATGCAGTGGGGCCTTGACAGTGCTGAGACAAGGTCTGGAGTGGGTGGGTAGTATCAGGGTGTAGGGGCAGGGCCAGCCAGACCCTTCCATCCCACTTTTTCCCCTTAGGTCTCTTTTGGGCATCCACAGTGGCCCTTTCCCTTATCTCACTGCCAGTCTGGCCTCCCGTTGGCACGGCTTAGGTCTGATTCCTCTCTATGTCTCCAATGCCCAGCACAAGGCCTGGCACAAAGAGGCTGGGCAGAAGGGAGAAACAACCAGGCTCTGTACGTCAGTGGCGTGGTGCAGCTATCTTGCCCCATATATCCCACCTCCCCACTTCCCTGATTTCTCTTCCTTTCTGCAGAGGACAGAGATCTATCCCTCTAGTGCCTCTCAGTGGAGATCTGTCTTACCCACACACACTATCCTACCTGAGCACCCCAGCCATTGCTAATCTTCTCCAATCCTTAGACTAACAAGACCTTCCTGCCTCCAGATCTTTGCACAAGCTGATTCCTCTGATCTTTCTCTGCTCAGCAAACTCCTACTCATCCTTCAAAACCCAATTCAAATGTGACTTCCTCCAGGAAGTCTCCCTAGACTGGGTCAAGGGCCCTTATTCTGAGCTCTCACAGTTTTGTGGGATTTCTTTTCTCTGGGCACTGATTAAATGTGATCCTCAGCCCCTTGGATTATTAGCTTCTTTAGGACTGGTAGAGTTGTGTTCAGTAAAGGCTGAATGAGTGGCTGGATTTGCAGAGAAGGCAAGGCTGAGGGCCCCTGGGAACCTGTTGATAGTCCCATAAGGCCAAAGGCCACTGACAGGCTGCAAGACAGCAGCCAAGAGAGGGCATTTAATGAGAATCAGTGAGTGGCACCAGGGTTAAACATGAATTGGCGTACAGTAGGCACTCAATTAGTTGATTTTTGACAACTATTGATTTAATATTTAGCAGAAGCTCACATATAAAAGCCTCAAAGAATTTTGCTGACAGGGAACCCACAGCTAATAGCGTGTTTTATTTGCCAAGATTTATTTCAGTCTTAGGCTATACTACCAGAGGGCACATCTTTGGAACTGGGGAGGTGAGCCTGTGTTAGAGAGATCATCAGCATTTTGTCTTGGGAGAATTGGCAGGTCCCCCTTTGAAGATCACTGACAGATGGGCATGCTTCAACAGGGTTTAACTACTTTGCATTGGGAACGACTGGGAGAAGGGGGAGGGAATTTGTTGGGAGAAGACAAGGAGACCCAAGCATTGTCTTCCACTCTGTGAAGGGCTGTCCTGGGATGAGGCATGTTCCTGGCCCCAAGGCAAACCTGGGACTGTCAGGAGTCCCAGCAGATTCGTCTGGCACTGAAAGGCGAGCTCCCCACTGTGAGAGGGTACTCCTTGTTTAGGCAGCTGTGGAGGCTTCCCACATTACTTCTGAGGTACTTTCCAACTTCTAGAATGCACAAATTCTAGGATTATGTAGACTTAAAATTCTCAAATGCCAAGAATTCTATACTTCTTTCACATGGTTCTCAGGCTTTGTGACCCTGAATGCAAGATAATCCTGCCTGGGGATCTTGAGGCAGGAAATAAGCACCTTACCCTGACCCTACTGGCCTGGAACCCACCTGTCTCTTCATTTCACATAACTCAAGGGGTCATTTTATCCACATCCTCTGCCTCTAGGCTGCTTCTCTTCTCTCAGGTTCTTCACCCTCCTCTGCTCCCCACCCCTGTCCTCCCCATCCTTCCCTCACAAGCCAGGAGAGTATGGCAAGTCAAACGGCATAAGGGAGTATCAGGTCATTCATCAGAGGGGATGATCCCAAAGCAGCAAATGATCCCTCTTCTTTTCTGTCTGACTGCAGAGGGAATTAACTGCCTCAGATTTGCAGTGGCTGGATTTCCTCCCCCTGATGGCAAAGTGGTTAAAGCGCTCGATGGCTAACTGGAAGTTCAGTGGTTGGAACCCACCAGCCTTGTGAGAGAAAGATGTGGCAGTCTGCTTCTGTAAAGATTTACAACCTTGGAAACCTTATGGGACCCTTCTACTCTGTCACTATGAGTTGGAACCGGCTCAACAGCAGTGGGTTTGGTTTGTTTGTTTAGCTTAGCCTTGTCTGAGGCTAATGTTGGTTAGTCTAACTGCTACCACCTCCCCCCCTCCCCACCCCCACACACACAGTGACCAGGAGCAGAAGGGGAAAAGGATGTAGAGGAAGCTTAGGATTCCATCCTGCTGTGTATAACCCCATCTCAGAGAACAAAAAGCAGACTGCAGAGCAATGCCATCCCGACGGGAAGTCCCTCCACGTGTCAAACCTCAATCTTGCTATGTACAATCAGGGCCCACAGTTCCAGAGAAGACATCAAGGGTCACTGCCCCACCTCAGAATGGCTAAATACCCTCCCACATGTCCCCATCCCATCCATGCCCTGAGGTCAGCAGGAATGACACAGTACCACTCACAACAGCAGAGTATTGGAGATTATTGCAGACTTTATAGAAAACTGCCCAAGGGAGATCCAGATTTTGGGGTGGGGGGAGGGAAGGCAGGCTTCAAGCCCATAAGTGGAAGGGGGGTGACTTCCTGTGTGCAGAGGCAGCACAGGCCAGCCATTCTGCCTGACCTAGGGGTGGGAAGTCAGGGAGAGGCAGCCCCCTCCCTACCCACCAGTTGTGCTTTGGGATCATGCAGAAGGCTGGGCGCTGAGGCTCTGACCCTGAACAGGAGGGCTTGTGCCTGTGATAGGAGGTGAGACCCCCTTCCTCTTCCAGAAAGCAGACAGGAGGGGCAAGGAATCCCAAGGGGAGAAGATCCACAATGGGTGGGAAAGAGAATGGAAAAATCAGTGGGCAGCAGCTCCCAGCCCTTCAGAGCATCCTCCCCACTCCTCTCTGAGGCCATGATGGATGGATCTGAGGCCTGGCCATCCACATTGCACCCCCAGGACCTTCTCACTCCCCATGAAGACTTGCTAGTATGTAGTAGGGGTGCTTGGCACCCATCTTGCAGGACTGGAGAGCTCATCCTGTGAAGGATGGGGAGTGGGCACATCCCAGGGGTGGTATTCTTCACAGGACCTTGACCCAGCTAGTGGTAGGGGTGGGTACTGAGTACAAGTGATGGGCGTAGGGAGAATGGAGAGCCTAAGTCTTAGGCAGGGAGATGAATCTCAGATTCAGATGAAGGGCTGGGAGTTGGAGATTGGGGACAAGCACTGAGTATTGAGGGATCACAGCTCCGGTGGGCAATGGCTGAGGATCAGCTCCCCACTACGGCTAGAATGGGGTGTGCCTGTCTCTGGGATGGGCGAGACAGACTGGGAGCTGAGCCCCAAGCCCGGGCTAAGGGAGGCGCCTGAGCCAGGGATGGGGTGGTGGGTGGTGAAGGAGGCAGGGGTTATGAAATACACCCTCAGATTGCAGGTAGTCACCCCCGGAGTCCCAGGATGTGGGTCTTCATGCACAAGGGAGGACTCAGAGCTCTAGGACTGGGCCAAGGACTCAATGTTCACAAAAACCTTCTGATGAGGGCGCTCTGCTTCAGAGACCAAAACTCGATGTGAGGGCCCCTGAGGCCTGGGAGGGGAGCTTAGGGCTCCAGGCTACAGATAGGGCAGCTTAGGGTGTTGAGGGTGTTGGGGCTCCATGTTTCCATTTGGAGAGGTCAGGTCTCAAAGCAGAGGTCGGTGGAGGCAGTGTCAGAGCTTCCTGTTTGAAGGACAGGGTTTCTGGGTGAGTCTTCAAAGGGGGAAGAGGATTTCGGTGGTCCAGGAGAGATGTGTCAGAGCCTGGGATGAAGGGTGGGGTTTCTGGAATCAACAGAGGTGTCTCAGGGTCTATGATGGTAGGAGCTCAGAGGCTGGGGAGAAGGGGGACAGACTGGAACCTCTGGGTGGGGGGATGCCATGATCTAAAGATCTCAGGCAGGTCAGGGGCAGGTCTCAGAGCCCCAAGACCGTGGGTGTCTCATACCCACGGCTTCAGGTCAGGAAGGGGCAGGCCAGGCAGCCCCAGTAAGGTCATCAGCTGGCAGAGGCAGCCCCTAATCCCCGACAGGCGAAGCTCAGAGGCCTGAGCCCGGGGAGGTGGCGCGGGAGCCGGCGGGGGCTGCTGGGGCGGGCGCGCGGCGCGGGTCTGCGTCCTGCTCGTAGCGGTAGTGGTAGCCCTCCATCTGGTCCCGGCAGGCCTCGCGCAAGTTGCGCATCCAGCGCTGGATGCCGCGGCGGTTTAGGTAGAGCACCATAAGGAAGATGAGGCCGATGAGCGCAAGTACTAGCCCGAAAAACACGTAGGAGGCTTCTAGCTCCGGGCCGGCGAGGTCCACTTCTTCCCCGCGACCGTCGGCGTCGCCGTCGGCGCAGCGCAGCCACGCCTCATCCAAGTCCAGGAAAGACCGGTTGTGTAGCGGCCGCGGGGCGGCGCAGCGTAGGCGCCGGGCGTCGGGTACGCGCTCCGTGGCGTTGCGCATCCAGGCCAGCAGGGGGCGCGCAGTGCAGCCGCAGCGCAGAGGGTTATCAGCGAGCAAGAGGCGCGGCCCGGGGAGGTCGCCATCTCGCTCCAGCGCGCGAAGCTCGTCGGTGCCCAAGCCAGCAAGCGCGTTGCGGCGCGCGTCCAGCTGCTCGAGGCGCGGCAGGTGCAGCGCGGCGGGCGGCAGGCGGCTCAGTGCGTTGCCCGCAAGGCCTAGGAGGCGCAGGTCCGCCAGCGGAGCGAGCGCGGCGTCCAGCTTCTCCAGCAGCGCGGGGCCGCCCTGCGCCAGCGCTTGGTTGAGCTGCAGCGAGCGCAGCGCGGGCAACCCGCGGAAGGCGGCACCGCCCAGGGCGCGCAGTGGGTTCTGACTCAGGTCCAGCGCCGCTAGGCTGGGCAGCCCGTCGAAGGCGCCGTCCTCCACCACCTCGATGTTGTTTTGCGTGAGGCGTAGCGCGGTCAGTAGCGGCAGGCGCACGCCCGCCTCCTTCTCCTCCCCATCCGCGTCCCCGCCGGCGAAGGCGGCAGCGCGCAGCACCGTTAGGTTGGCGCCCACGATGGTGAGGTTGCGCGCGTCGGGCGGCACGTCCCGCGGCGGCTGCCGGAGCTCGGCGCCCGACGCACAGCGCAGTAGCAGCTTGGGGCCGGCAAAACAGTAGCATTGGAAAGGACAGGGCGCGGCGGGCCGGCTCAGCGCCGCCGCCAGGAGCAGCAGCCCCGGCAGCAGCGGTCCCCAAGCCCCCGGCTGTCCCGCGTGCGGGGCCATCGCGGCCGCCCCGGCATCCAGCGCCTGGGCCGCTGCGCTCACCAGTGAGTTGGGAGCACCTCGTGGAGGTACGGGTGGGGCAAGCCCTTGAAGCGGAGCGGCTGGCAGTCTTGGTTGGTCCGTCCGTCTCTCTAAAGTCCGAGAAGCCTTCAGTTTCCTGGCTAGGGGCGCGAGGGGTCAGGCGGGGAGCAGAGCCCCCCGCCCCCGGTGCCCTCCTCGCCCTGAGCGCCAGCCTCCGACTTCCGCGGCCGTTCCGGGCTTGGAGCCGAGTGGGCAGGGTTTGCCTCCCCCCTCCCCGCCTCCCGGCCTCCTCCTCCGCCCCCAGCGGAGTCTCCGCGCCCTCTATGCCGATGGAGGCGGGGTGGGAGGCTCCCAAGAATCCGGGCTTTTGGCTTCTGCGCTTTCTTTTCCCCTTCTCCGACTCGGGCTGCTGAGAAGTTTGGCTCCCCAAGGCTCTCACTTACTTCCCCCTCTTCTGCCACCACCCCCGACATTTAAGCTAGTTCCTTCTCCTCCCTCACTGGCACTTGTGGGGTGAGCCTGGCTGGAAAGAGCGGGCAGGTGGGTCAGACCCAGGGAGTGAGAATTTGTGGGGAGGACTTTAGAGCCCGCCACCCCAAAAAAGCCAAGGCAGGGATAAGGGTGGGTTGAGAAAATCACTCCTTTTCAGCCTCTTCCTAGTCTCTGTAATCAGGTAGAGGGCTTTGCAAGGAGAGAGACTGGAAAATCTCCAGCTCCGGCCTCTCTTCTGCGACCCTAGTTCCATTAGGCTCCGTTGTGTGAACACCCCTGCAGGTTCCATGGAATCAACCTTTTCTCGACCCTATCCCATCCCGGGGGTAGTCTTCTGCAATGCCCCCTCCCTACCCCCCAACTCAGCGCTGCTCTGCTCTCTGGTTTCCTTTACCTGGCTGGACTCCTCCCCCAAGCACCCTAGGAACAGGGACCAGGTTGGTGTAGTGATTCAGCTTTTTGCTTTCCTCTCCCTGCCCCAGCATCTGGGCATCCCACTAGACTCCCCTACTGGTCTGAGAAGCCTGGGATCCCTTGGACACCATTAACCTGCCCCTCCTCCCCTCCTGAATGTGATGTGAGGGTTTGGGACTCCAGAGGATGGGGGCAACAGAGTGGATTTTGTGGCATGGGGGTGGGGGGGCTCAGAGGGGCCAGTGCTGGAGTGGGGGCTGAGCTGTTTATAGGTTTAGTTTGTTCTGGATTTTTTTTTTTTCCAGAACTAGGAAGCTCTGGACCTGATTTAAAGAGACAGATTCCTGTGAAGGGAGCACGCTTGGTCTTGGTATGAATTATTCAGGCTGGAGAGGTTGACACTTGATCCTCTGGCCATTTGGATATCAGCAGAGCTGGTTGGGATAGAGGCTCCCCCCCTCCCCAAAGAATTAGTCAGTCTCTTTCTACGGAATTGGGGACTTGGTTGAGTTGACTCCTTTCCTGAGGTTATATTTAACAGATCAACTGACAAATCAGTACCACTTAAGGAGAAGAGGCAGACCCTGTGGTGGCCTGGGTCTCAGGCAAGGACCAACATCAGATGGCTGTTGATGCTGGGGGCCCCCTCCCCTTCCCTCTGTTTTTTCTCACTCTCCCCCCATCACCATTACAGCTCCCCCAGGTATTATCAAATGAGAACAGTAACTTGCACATACAGGATTGGACGTGCATGTACATATACACGTGCAAGGTTGTACATGTACTTGGGCTTCTACATGGAGACGCAAGCTTGACACATAAATAGATGTAGGTGTGTCCATACGTGAGCAAGCACGAATTCACACATACTTGGATGTGCATATATATGCATGGGAAGACTTGCACAAGCTTGTGCACAGTTCCAGGCAGGCTCCGACATGCCTCATCCAGATACATGCTGGCTCAATCAGACATGTGCACATATGAACATAGGTTTCAGTGTATCCTGGTATGTGCCCATAGACTCATGCACATCAGTACTTGAACATGCACTCTTCTGGGCCCATGCAAGTTCCTGGTTACATTCTCAGAGGGGCAAGCACATGCATCCAGAGATTGGCCAATATACTGTGAGCCCACTCCCTCCTGCCCTTTACCATGCCCTTGGTCTGTGGAGGGAACAGGCTGGTGGTGTCTTTTCTCACTGGGTACAAGTGTTCAAGTCGATGCCCTTGGGGCTGGGCCCTCAGCTGTTGCATTCCCCCTCACCCTGGCCCATGTCAGCTACAAGCTCTAGCTCTGACTTCTCTCCCAGTGGGAGACACTGGGTCTTGTTTCGCTCCTGTGTTTCCAGTGCAAGGACTAGCACAAGAGAGTGCTCAGCAAACATTTGAAGACGAGTAAATGAATGAGTGGAGGTCTCTACTTCCCTGTTCCACTTCATAGAACCCCTTCAGCCTCCAACCCTTAAAGAACCACAGACCAGCTGCCAAGTCCAGAGCTCCCTCCGAGACTCCCATGGTGGCTGGCCCCTGAGTGGTTCATGGCGTCCCTGGGGAAGGGGCTGCAGGGCAGCAGGCAGCCTTGAGTGGAGGTTGTTGGACCCCTCGTTTGGGGAAGAGAGGCCCAGAGAGAACCTAGAATCAGCAGATGCCTGAGAAAAGGCAATGCCTGTGTTGTACAAATGAGGAAACTGAGGCCAGAAAGCCAGGGACTTGCCCCATAGCCCCAAGCTCCCAGCCCAGGGTTCTGTCCAAGGTGGTGGGCTGCCTCTGAGACCGTCCAGTGCCACAAGGAAGTCTCATCCTGACCCCAGGAAGCTGAGGCCAGGAACGGATGGCAGGGTTGGTCTGGTGTGACCTCAGGCCTCTCTCTCTACCTCTGGGCTGTCTGCTTTCTCCTCTGTTAAGTGGTTGGGTTTCCGAATTCTTACTCTGTGGGCCTCTAGGGGCTGTTGTGATAAAGTGAATGGAAAGTACTTTGAAACAAGGAAAGCCATATCACTTTTATGGACCTGGGGGCCTAGCACCCACCCTGCCATGCTTTCACCCTGTGACCTTGGACAAGGCATTGCCCTTTCTGGGACTCATTAGCTTCCCTGTCATTTTGCCCTGCTCCATTTCCTCCCTCCCCCAACATAGCACATTCATGGTGGATATTAAAATGAGTCTCTACCTGCTTGTCTGTGTGTGGCCTCTACTCAGCCTCCTCCCCTAACTCCCCTCCTTGTGTAGGTGTTCCTCTCCTCTGTGCAAATTCCCCTGGAACCAGGTCAGTCGTTTTGGGGTGCCTTTTCTTTGGAGGAACAGCCCTGTCTATCTTGGGTTGTCAGTGTTCAGTATACAGTAGTTGTTCAATAAATGTATGTCCAGTTGAGTCTGAGGCTGTGCTTATTCCCTGATGCACCCAGTGGAAGTCTCTTGGCTTGCACTGTTTCCTTCCCTGGGGTGCTTACTCTGCTTGACTCTGTTTCTCCAGTCCAGCCCACTGTTCCTCAGGGCTCAGCTTGAGTTGTGCCACCTCCAGGAAGCCGTAATGGCTTCCTTCTCCCTTCGAACTTTTCCACTTATTGATGAAAGGGCTAGAGCTTTCCTGAGCCCCCCTGTCAGCAACCGGGACTCAGGACTGGTCTTATTTCCTGTGTTGTCAGTACACAGCACAGGGCTCAGCACAGAGAAGACACTAGGAAATATTTATTGACTGAAAAAATAATTTAAAAATCTCTGGTTCCATTCTCCCATCTCTGCAAGGCAGGCTTGGTGAGGATGCCCCTCTCCACACCAGGAGACAGCTGCCCAGAAAGGTTAAGTTCTTCCCCCAAGGTTACACAGCTGACTGGGACCTGAGCCTGACAGGCGCTCAGGTTTCCTGCTCATCTTCCCTGCAGCCCTCCGCCTCCTAGGCTCCCTCTCTTCCACGAGTGTGACTGGGTCAGATCCCAGGGGAGCCTGTGGGCAAAGAGCTCAGGCCCTCAGGGTTTCCTTAGGACTTAGAGCAAGCAGGCCCCTGGAGACACCCCCACCTAAGCAGAATGCTCCACACTGAATCCCCCGTGTCAGCCACGCGGAACCCCAAAGCTTGAAGTTATTACCACCCCCACCCAACCACCCCTGGGCCTGAGAGCCCCTCTCTGATCTTTCCACAGCTCTGTTTCCTCCCTGAGCCTCTAGCTGCTTCCCTGAGTCCCTTTTCTCCCCACAAAGACCCTGTCCACCTCTAAACCCCCACTGAGCCTGCCAGGGTTCCCAGAGAGGTTTGGTGATGTTGTGGAGGTCACCCAGCAGATAACCCCTTCCAGATTAGCCTCTGGCTCCATTTTGCCTTCAGAGGTGTCTTGATATTCCTAAAGGCCTCAAGCCTCTTTGCCTTTCCAGACCTCAGTCTCCCTGCCTGAAAAATAGGGATGTGTGTGGATGGGATGGTCTTAGTGGGGGCTATTAGTCTTGTGCTGCTTGGCTTTTTAGGGGTCGTAGTCAGGGAGGGTAAGGTAATACTGTGCTTTGCCCAAGTTGGGCCCTGGCCTTCTCAGTGGCTTGCACTGTTTCCTGAACTTGCCCCCCCTCCCCCAGGGCCTTAGTTTGCCCAGGTATAAAGTGGTGATGATGTTCTCCAGGGGTCCTTACAGGTTCGATGCAGTAGTCCCTGTGAGCCAGCCTTCTTTTATCGTGGCAGCCCTCATCCTCATGCTGTCCTCCCTCCCCCTTGCTCTGCTCCTTCCTTGGAGGTGTGGAGGAGCAGCCGGCAGGCCTGACGGGATAGAGTTCAGTCGTTAGGCTATGGGGGAGGCCCCAGGTTCTCTCCTCTTGCTTCTACACTGGCAGGGAGGGGGAAACTTCACTGCGGGCCTCACTGTTCCCATTTCTCTCTCTCCCCCTCCCCCCCCCCGCCCCAACGCCATGAGACACAGGAAAATCCATAGGCCCAAGATTCATTTTCTCTGTTGAGTCAGCAGAGGCCACGCTCTGTTTTCGGAGGGGCGGGCAACTGGCTTTTAAATAACTCTCTGATATTTAATACCCTCCTGTTCCACTGCGTGGCCTGCACCACTGGGGAAAGTCTAGAATAAATGAGCT